GAATAGAGATCTGAAGGCTTGGAGTTAGGGAGGTGAGAAAAGGCAAACAGAAAAGCCAAGTGGCTTATTTACGACCAAAACCCAAAGTGATATTGAGATGGGCTGGTGTTTTTGCGAGCCAGTCCATGCCAGGTCTGTGAGCAGGTGACAAACTTCAGACTTGCACCAGGGGTCAATGGAAAGCTATCAGCTATCAAAGTGTTTTCAGCAGTGTCCAGATGGAGAGAAGTGGATGATAGTGCAAGACTGACCAAGGCAGTGAAACCAGTTAGGAGGCTTTAACAGGAGTCCACATGAAGGATGGGGATGACTTGGGTTAACATAATGGCGGTAAGGTGAGAGTGAGGGTCTATTCTAAGATATTTAGGAGGAAGGACAGGGAAGACTTTGTATTGTTTTTGCATTACTGTGATGAAATACCTGAGACAGGCTAGCTTTATAAAGAAAAGAGTTCACCACACAGTTTTGGATGGGAAAAGTCCAAATGGCATTACATAGCAATGATGGCAAACCTTTTAGAGCTTTCAGTGATAACAAACAGCCAGCTGCAGCGCACATGCCATAGGTTCACCACCACTGACATAGGCTGTGATGGGAGGTTCTCCTGGGCTGTGTCACTTAGAGTGGATGGCAAAGGCAGAAGCTCATGCAGGAGGAAGAGATTATCAAAGCAGGAAAACAGAGAGACCAGTGTCCCCCCGGTCCCTTCCTAGAGCACACCCCTAGTGACCAAAGGGCCTCCCACTAGGCCTCACCCTCTTAAGGATCCGCACCATCTCTTGCCATCGCACTGAGGACCAAGCTTTTAACACATGGATCTTTGGGGGACATTCAAGTTCTCTCTGGGCTTAGCAGACCTCTTACAAGTAAGAGGAAAATTTGGCTGGCTTGGTTAGGGTTATGAGAGAGGTAATGGGAGGGAGGAAGTATTAAGAATGACTCCAAGGTTTTATTCTTGGGTGATCAAATATGGAGGTGCCATTCATTGATTAAGGAACTCGAGCTAGGGAGAGAAGGGGAAAGAGGTAGGGTTCTGTTGAATCAGAGATACTTATGGGTAAACGCAGGGGGACACTGAGATGCAAGTTGGAGTCCATGTCTGCAGTTCAGGAGACTGAAGTTGAAGACTCAGAAGTCATCCGAATGTATTGGGTGTGTTTTAGTTGGAGTATAGGTTTTTTTCTTAATCACTAATTTCTACATCAGCTGGTTGGAAGATAACAAAACCAACCTAAAATATCACTGGTGCTCTTAAAAGTTCTCCCTGGGAAGAGGGCTTTTGACCTTGGAGAAGAAGGTTTCCTCGCTCTCAGAAGAGTTAGATAAGGACCAGACTGAAATGACAGAGCACCACCTGCTTGTGTTCCACTCATTCAAGCACCTACTATGTGCTTGAGAACAGGCAAGCCCTGAGATCCAACAGCAAACAATCAAATCTCAGATCTCGCCGAGCTGTATGTCTAGGGCAGAGCTTTCCAACGTCCATACTACTGCCATTTAAAGCTGTGTCATTCTTTGTTGTGAGGGCTGTCCTGTGTCTTGTGGGATGTTAAGTAAGATTCCTGGCCTGTACTCACCAAATGTCAGATGTCATACTCCCCAAATGATGACAGTCAAAAAATATCTCCAGACATTACCAAATGTCCTCTGGAGAGAATGAGGGGGACAAAAACTGCCTCCACTGAGGACCACTGGTCATGATAGAACCTGAAGCCTCCAGGCAGCCAGCCCTCTCCAGCTGCGTATACAGGGAATCAATGAGGATGCCTTACAGGACTTAAATCAGTGAGCTTAGAGGTAGGCACTCAAGAAGTCAGTAGAGCTAGCCTGAAATCCAGAAGACTCCATATAGGAGACTTCTTGGATGCCCAAGTATAAGCCCATAAGCCCAATCCAACTACAGTTATAGCATCCTCTCCAGAGAAAAGCCGCCACCTGATACCCATTTGCCCTCCAGACTAATTACTTCCTACGTTTTGTTTTTCCTTAAGCAGAAGCTGGCTTTGCACTTTACAAACACAAAGAATCACCTCCTCAGAAGGCCACCAGCAGAATGAACTTGTGCTAGGGGTAGCTTGGGGTTGCCTAGCAACGCCACGCATCTACCAAGGCTGCTTTCTTCCTCTTCAAGCTAAAAGCAAAGTCCTGTCCATTAATTCCCAGCTGCCCTGAAACTTCTCAGAGATTTGCCAGCTTCCTACTGTTCCTGTTTTCATCTTCCTCATATGATGTGAAGAAAACCTGCTTCTGTGGTCTGTTTATCTCACTTCAGTTGGTCAGGGGGAAGAAAAACAAGAGAGAAAGAGAAGGGAGGGAAAGGCCTCATTCAATCTAGGAACGTACATATTTTGTGTGCATATCCCTGACTGACATGCTGGTGCTCTTTGCAAATTTAAATTTTAGGTAGTGGACGTGGGTTTACTATATAATGAGGCTTCTGTTGAGACTCTGGGCATGATTTTAGTCAGACATGAGACCCCACAGTGGCTAAATAACAAAGCACATATAATAGAGACCATGCCGAGCAAAATGTTAGTGGGTCTGTCATTTGGTCCATTCTCTGTGATCCATTTCCCCAAAACTCACTTGGAAGAAATTGTAAAGCTGGAGGTGGCAGGAGATTGGAGACAATCTCTTTTCCCTGAGAACTGTGAAATGTCCCTTGGGGTTTTCCTCCCCAGTTCCATTTTGCTCCTGCAGAAATGTTGAAGCTGGAGAAGGCTTCCCTTGGAGCACTCTCTCACAGTAGGACCAGGGAACATGTCACTGATTTTCCAGGCAAGGCCGTGGCTGCCCCACTGGATGGAAAGGTCTGGGAATGTGAAGCTGGGCTTTGTGAGGATAGGTATGGAGACCAAGAATGTTTTTCTCCAAGTGTGTGTACAAACACTGGAGCTTCGTTTGTACGCTGGAGTTCATGCCATGTTGGGCAGCAACAGAAATGGGTTCTGTGCTAGGGGGCTTCTAGTTTGCCCTCTTCAAACAGTTCAGCTTCCTTACAGACTGCCCCCACCCCAGGCTCCCCTGTTGTTTACAGTATCTCAGATCCTAACCCAGGCCACACTCTGAAAAGGATGGGTGGGAACAAGCACTGAGGAATAAAACTCGATCATAGACCCTCAAGACCTTCCTCCTTATGAGGAGCCCTTTATACCCCCCCACTGGCCCTGCCCAAATTAGTTTTCTTAGCCTCCTCATGAGTGGTACCTGAGAAAGAGCAGAGGGTGCTAGGCAAAGGTCTTTGGAGTGCTGGAGAAGGAAGTTTGGAAGACGCACACTTTCAGTTCCCAAGGTCCAAGCCAGGAAGGCTTCCAATCAGTTGCCTCCATCCAAGCTCTTCATTCTTCTGCCATGGCCTAACCCAGGCTGCCTTTTGTGTGCTTTAGAAACAGATATAGGAAAAAAAAAAAAAAAAAAGACGGAGATGGAGATGGAGACAGTGGAAGAGATAGAGGCAGGATTCAAGATAAATACTCAGGGAAGTTACAGTACTTTCTAGGGGCAGTACTTTTCTTGGGGTATATTTAAATGAAGTTAAATACCTAGCTTGCACAACTCTGTAAATTTTCTAGAAGTCTCTGCATTGTACACTTAAAACAGGTGAATTTGATGGTGTGTAGATTATGCCTCAAAACAGCTGTTAAAAGAAAGAAAACTGGGCTGGGGATTTAGCTCAGTGGTGCTGTCTCTTGCCTTGCAAGAGCAAGGTCCCGAGTTCGATCCCCAATACCCAAAAGGGGGGGGGGGGCAGGGATTTGGCTCAGTGTTGCCTCCCCCTGCCTCGCAACCGGAAGGTCCCAAGTTCAATCCCCAGTACCAAAAAAAAAAAAAAAACAGAAAGAAAGAAAACTGAAAATGTGTCTAGGAATTCTTATGAACAAGTAGGTTTTGTGAGTGTGGCCACATCTCAGCACTTCCGCTCTTCTCTCTCCATCTTATAAAGGGCAGCAGGGACTCTGAGGCTATGATTCCCCTGTCTCTTTAGCAAACACTCTCACCCCCACCCAGCCTCCCTTTGTCCAAGCTCAGGCCAGGAGAGAGGTAACTGCAGTTGTTTTGGATGCTGGAGCAATTAGGGAATTAGATAGGCTGCTGATTTCATACACACACACATACAAAACAAAAGAAAGCCACAAAATAAGAATACCCATACCCCACCATCCTTCCCCCATTTGCATGCAGATAGATTGATTGACTGATTTAGATAAATTCTTCCATCTTTTCCCAATTCATGGCACCCAGCACCTATTCCTTCTACAGCCTTCATATTCTGCAGTATTTTTAAGTCTGCCATAAATAGGTTGAGTGAAAAGCAGCCAACATTTTTAAGTGTTGTTAAATTTCCCTTAAAACCAAATATTACAAGAATATGAAAATAGCCCAGCAGAGCCATCCAGTTCTTGATCACTGGAAACTTGAGAAAATCATATATAAATGTATTTTTTAAATTCTGAAAGATGAATGGCATTTTGCCTCCATCCTGGGCTTGTAGAGAGTTTTCTCTTTTCTGCAGAAGACAACAGAAAGAGAAAGAAAAAGGGAAGGGAGGGGAGGAAGGAAGAAGGAAAAGAGAGAAGCAAGAAACAAGGGGGGAAAAAGACAAGAGGAAGGAAAGAAGCAAGCAAGCAAAAGAAGGCAGGCTTTCTTGAGGGAGCACCCATCCTGAGCTAGGCTAGGAATCACAGCGAGCCTGCTTGTCAGCTCAGCACTGGTGCAGTTGCCTGGGATGTGCATCGAACTCCCCTCTTTGGGCAGATTGTTCTGATCCCTGAACCCAGGTCAGCTGTCCTTGGGAATGCCCTGCATCTGCGACCCCACTCCGTCTTGCAACTGCATGTGTGGCCTGCTTCCCCCAACCCCTTTGGACGGCAGGTATGGGCCCCACTGTGAGGCTGGCCCAGTGGCTGCTCTGCAGGCTTGCTCCCCCTTTGCATGGCTCTCCTGCTTCCCCAGCGCGGCCTCACGTCCCTCCTTCTCATTCTCTCCATTTCTCCAACCAGATGGCTGCCCTGATTTGTGCAACGGTAACGGGAGATGCACACTGGGTCAGAACAGCTGGCAGTGTGTCTGCCAAACCGGCTGGAGAGGGCCCGGATGCAACGTTGCCATGGAAACCTCCTGTGCTGATAACAAGGATAATGAGGGAGGTGAGCAAGCATCTTCTAATTCCCAGCCCCTCAAGAACAGAATGTCGTATATGCCTTCATCATGAGTCATTTTTCTCCTGAAAGACCTCCCCTATCCCATTGTCAAATGTCATTGTAACAATTCCTCTGAAGCAAATGCAGCAGAGAATCCGTGTCCTTGGGCCAGCAGAGACATGGGCAGCAGGCCCCAGGGTTTGATGCTGGCTTTGGGTTTTCAAGTACCTGCAGAAAAGTAGCTGGGTGCTGGCACTGTTTCTGAGGTGTCCAGCCTTGCCAGACCTTTCGGGGCTGGTGGTTACAGTCAGCGACAATGGTCCTCAACCCATCATAAGCTATGCACCCCTTCATCTTGTGGCCCTTTAAGATGTCACATTACAGGTAAGGGAACAGAGGCCTGGAAAGCAGCTGAGGAGCTTTTTAAAGCCAGTATAACCCTAGGAGAAAATTGGGACCTAAACTCAGCTCTGGCTCCAAAGAACATGTTCTAATCTGTGGTCAGCAAACTATAGCCCATGGGCCAAATTCCACTCGTCAGCTAAAAATGGTTCTAACATTTTTTATGGTGGGAGGGCAAAGTCTAAAGGAGAATAATATTTGGTGGCATGGAAAAATTATGTGGAATTCAAATGCCAGTGTCAAATTCAAATACCAGAGGAGAAAGTTGTCTCTAAGCACTTTATTGAGGTATGATCGACACGTGTAAATAGCTATATGTATTTGATGGCGCACATCCTGATGAGTTTGGAAATAAGTATGCATTCATGAACCTCTCCCCACCCTCAAGGCCATGAATCTGTCTGTCACGTCCCAGAATCCCCTCCCACCTCCTTTATTATTATTAGAGGATTAGCTGGTTGGTTTTCATGGCACATGATATCTACCCTCTTAGCAAATTTTATATAGTGTTGTTAGCTGTAGAAACTATTGATGATACTATATAGTAGGACTCTCAAATTTATTCATATTGCATATTGGAAGCGTCCTCCCCTTTAAACTTCACCTTTCTTTATTAGAATGTAGTGATATCCATTTCCTTATCTTCTGTCTCTAGCTGCCTTACCCTCAGTGACAGAGTTGAGTGATAGCAACAGAAAACACACAGCCATCACGGCCTAAAATACTCTCTCTGGCCCTTTGCAGAAGTTCACTGATCCTTTTCTGAACCTCAGAGCTGAGTTTCTCCACGTTACTTCCTGGTGGAGCATTAACCTATTTATGCCAAAGATTGTAGTTTTTTAAAATTTTTGCATGACATTCACCTATGTTACCTAGAAAAATTCAAGGAATAAGAATTTAAAGAAAATAACTTTTATGTTCTATTGTTATGGATGTTCCAAAAAATGGAACACTGGGCATAAAAGAATTAAGATTCTAGGCTAAATGGGGTTACATTAGCACAGAGCCACCTGACCTAAGAACTGTATGTAGTGCCCCACCCCCTGCCAAACATAAGCAGGGATATGTGAGCCACGCTCACCAAAGTGACTCACACAGGTCAGAATTTACTCAGGGCAGAAGTTGTTCCTGGTGCAAAAGGATCCATGAGTCCAAGTATTTGATCTAACAGAAATGTATGTGGTCCCACTATGTGTCCATCACTGCACTCCAAGAGTCTCAGTGACCCAAAGTCAACCCCTGGCTTCTCAACCCCAGGGAGTCAGCTTCAGGTTCCCAAGTGGCATGTGCTCGCTCCATCAAGGTGACAAATGAGAGTATTAGATACTCTGTTTTTATCTTTCCTCATCCTTTTAATGGACATTTTGCAACTGCCATAATCTACAGTTGCCTTCATACATATATAATTTGTGAATAAACAGACGTACATACCCTGATAGAAGTATGCAGTCGAAAAAGTTTCTAGACCCAGTGCAGCTTGCAGAGCTCCTGTTCATTCATTTTCTCTTTCCTGAAACACAGTCAAAATAGAAGCCCCTTGAATTCATTTTTTAACAAGGTGAGGCATAACTACATACGGCGTTTTTTTTCCGAGAGTCAATCCAATGACTTTTGCTGGGAAGGTTCACAGTTTCTGTTTCTGCCTCCCTGGTGATTTCACTGAGCACAGCGGCTGCTTACAAATCAGCTTTTTCTTCCAGAAAGGGGCTGCCTTCCTGGCTTCCTTCCCTGTTCGGGGTGTCAGCAGCTGAAAGCTAGCAAACTGCTGGAATGCAGCATGTCAGGGAAAGAGGACGTTCCCAGAACTCAGTCTCCCCAACATGTACTGTGCAATCCACCGTCCTGCAGACCAGCTCTACACCCGATCCTGGTGCCCACCAGGCAGAAATCAAATTCTTGAAGTGATGGAGCTAGAAATAGCACCAGGTCTGCAGACACAATTCAGGGTCCCTCCTAGCAGGCCGAGTCCAAGCATCAGAAAAGCAGGGTACAAAAGCAAATGAGGCAGTGATTATGCTAAAGACAATAATGGCCTTGTTATGGGAACTATTAAAGAGAACCTCCCAAGGAAGTAATTAACCACCAAGAAAAAAGGATCCACACGGTGTTTATAAAAAGAAACTCCCAGTTAATTCAGAGTTGCCTATGTCAGGTGAGAGAGGCAGACACCAGTTCTCTCTCACCTGGCATAAGCAATTTACAATTAACTGAGTTCTTTTTTTGGAGGAGATTCCTTGGTACAGGGGATCCTTTTTATGGTTAATTACTTCCCTAGGAGGCGTACTAAGCACTTTGCTGTTTATTTATAAATATTAAAGTTGCTTCTCATCAACTGCAGATGCAGTCCTGCAGCACACTAATCGTATCACTGTTTTTGTTGGTTTGGGTTGGGGATGAGAGTTTGCCCCTGGCTCTGTCCTGCTTTGGGAGTTCTCAGGGAAAGCTGTGTGGGTTGAGAAACCTGGCGCTGGGTCAGGGAGGCATCCAGGCAGAGCATGAATGCAGGCCCAGGGAGCAGCTGCAATGAACACATTTGTTATAAATCTCATGAATGGGGAAAATAATAGAGCACTCTTCCAAAGTGGACTGGAAAAGGCAAATCACTTTTTCATCTACAAACGTTCTAGTTTTTTTTTTACATCTCAGTTTAAAGTGATACAATTTTTTTTTTTTCATTTTAAACTGAGATAGATTCAGATACAAATACAGATGGAGATATTTGAAGCCCTTACTGACCTCTTTCAACCTGGGTTCCCTCTGTGAGACATGTAAGCCCGGGTACTTCCTGCCACTGGTAATTCTGAGAGTTCAGCTTTCAGCAGAATCACCTGGGGCACTTAATTAAACACACACTACTGAGCTCTATCCTGAGTTTCTGAATTCTAAGATCTGGGATAGAGTACAAGAATTTGAATTTCTCCTGAATTTCCAGGATGCAGCCCTTCTTTGTAAACCATTGTCCTAAGGTATCCATTATATGGAATGAATTAATTTCTCTCCTATGCATCTACAGTGGTACTGGATAAAGTACCCTCTTGGAAGAACTGAGAAAATTTACACTCAGACGTCTTCTGTATTCTGTGATATTTTGATGAGAAACCCTGTTGGAAAAGGCTGCCTTGGAATTTGCCAATCAAAACAATTTATGTCAACCCCTTGCCTTGATGCTCCTATCCTCCCAGCCGTGTGACCTTTTGTCACCTCAGGAAGTAGTGGCAGAGTCAGAAGAACAAGCTTGCCTACCATTCCAACAAAGCAGAAATAGTTTTAGACAGACATGCCAGCCAAGGGCTGTCTTTTCATAGTGAGAGATCCTCACTTGAACCACTCACCCCAATTTGAAAAAGAAGAGACTCAAAAAAATATTTTTGCTTACAGAAGACAAATACCAGCTCATTAAAGTCAGAGAATACACACAACATGTGCGCCAAGTGACAGGCAGATAATATTTAATTATCACCACCGAGGCAGAGGTGCGAGGTTTAGTTCATCACAGCCAGAGGTAGGAGAGAGGGTGCAGATTTCCTCTAAAAGTGGGAGCCATAAGGTGAGGAGGCGCCGTTAGACTGGCTGGCCTGCAGAGACAGTCTTCACTCCTTCCTGCACCCCTTTATTACCCAGACTTTAGAGGCAGGAGCCCTGGCCCTCTCCCTGCACAAAGCCCACTTCCCACCATTTCAAGCCAGCCTAGGAGTCTGGAGTCCCTGTGCCATTCTTCCGGATACCTTGTTCGTTCCCTGCACGGAGTGACAAGTGCAGACCAGGGCAGGCTACATTGTCACCTGTCAGCCTCAAGGTGGCAGGGATTGGGAGGGAGCCCCTCGCAGGGCTGAACTTGTCATCTCTCATCACTGCTTCCTCCCCACACTAAGGGTGGTATCTGCCTCCCCTCTGCTGTGCTTCGCCACAACACTGACAGGCACTCAGCTCCTTCCCCTTTGTTTCCTGGTTTCTGTGCAGGTGATGCTAGAACATGATACTGGTGCAGACCCCTGGCGTTGGAGTCACTGTACTTCTCAAGGTCTCGGTTTTCTGGTCTGTAAAATAGGCATGAACACACCAACTCCATCGGGTGCTGTGAGGCTTCAGAGAGCAAATGTGCATGTTATATATTTTACAAGCTGCCTGGCTCATAGGTTGTGCTCACAAATTGGCTGCTGCTAGAATTAACCTTGTTAATGTTATTTTCTAGAATGGAGATTAAATACATATAGATGTATGCATATACATATACAGTGTATATAACCAAAAAGATTCTAACCTTGTGCTTTTCGAGCTTTAGCACTGTATGACCCCATGAAGTGCTGAAAAGTCAAATTTCTAGGCTCCCACCTCTTGAAAGCCAGATATGGGATCCAGGAATCTACATTTTTACCAAGCACCTCGGGTGATCTGATACCAGGGCTCTGCACACCACATTTTGAAAAAAACTTCTTTAAATTATGGCTTCTCCTGGGTGGACTGACCACCAGTGTCATAGCATCTATACCCCAAACTACCACTCAAACTCCCAGGACACGAGGAATGAAGTGAGGAGAGGGATATTTCATTTCAGAAAGAAACAAAAAATTGGGAAAAATACTAACACAGTTTTCATGATTCGT